ACTGCACGTTTTCCCATGGAAAATCTAGGATTTGGGCCTCCTGATGGCCTCGTGGGACGCCTCTTGGGGGCCTCTTGGGGCTTCTTGGGGGGCTCTGGGGGCCTCCTGGGAGCGTCTTGAGGCGAAAGGCTAGACTTTTCGGTTCGTGGTCCCCCTCTTGGGGCCGTCTTGGCGCCCTCTTGGGCCGTCTTGAGCGCCTCTTGGGCCGTCTTGGGGCCCTCTTGGGCCGTTTTGGTGGCCTCTTGGGAGCCTCTTGGGCCGTCTTGGGGCGGTCTTGGGGGCCTCTTGGGCCGTCGTCAACGCCGTGAAAGCCGACAAAGCGCATATGCTAAACATATACGTTTTCCTTTGGAGAATCGATGATTTCGGCCTCTTGGGGCCCTCTTGGGACGCCTCTTGGGCGCCTCTTTGGCTTGGGGGCCTCTTGGGCCGTCTTGGGCGGTCTTGGGCTCTCTTGGAGCGCTCTTGGGCCGTCTTGGGGGGGAACCCGAAAAACACGCAAAAGCCCAAGGGAAAACCCGAAAACGGCAATTTACACCCAAATGCGCCCGCTACCCCCCTCCCCTGGAACCCCTCCCTTTAGGGCTTCGCCCACACCAGAACGTCATCACTCGTACCTCGCTCTTTCCGTTACCTGGGCCGGCACGGAAACGGAAAGAGCGCTTCAACAACTTGACCGAGATTACTCACACCACCGTTCGTACTGGGAGCCTCGGCGTTGAGAGCTTGTTACGTCACCCCGCGCTCTTGGGAGCCTTGGTGTTCAGAGATTATTGCGTTGCCGCCCGTTCCTGAGCCTTGGCTGGGCCTTGGTGTCAGGAACTTGTTACGTCACCGCTCTCTGCTGGGAGCCTTGGTCTTATCAGCTTGTTTACGTCACCGTTTGCTCTTGGGAGCCTTGGTGTGGAGAGCATTTTGCGTTACCGATCGCTCTTTTTTTGGCTTCTCTGAGCCTTCTTGGGGGTCCTATTGCGGCCATTTTGGAGCCCCTTGGGGGACCTCTTGGGGGCCTCTGGGGGCTTCTTGGGGGTCTGTGGGGGCCTCCTGGGAGCGTCTTGGGACGAAAAGCTAGACTTCTGGGGCCGTCTTGGGGCCCTCTTGGGCCGTCTTGGGCGCCTCTTGGGCCGCCTTGGCGCCCTCTTGGGCAATTTTGGGGGCCTCTTGGGAGCCTCTGGGGCCGTCTTGGGGCGGTCTTGGGGGCCTCTTGGACCGTCTTCAACGCCGTGGAAGCCGAAAAGCCGTGCATGCTAAAAATGTAGGTATTCTTATGGGAAATCAATGATTTTGGCCTCCTGATGGCCTCGTCGGACGCCTCTTGGGGGCCTCTTGGGGCTTCTTTGGGGGCTGTGGGGGCCTCCGGGGAGCGTCTTGGGGCGATAGGCTAGACTTTTCGGTTCGTGGTCCCCCTCTTGGGGCCGTCATGGGGCCCTCTTGGGCCGTCTTGAGCGCCTCTTGGGCCGCCTTGGCGCCCTCTTGGGTAATTTTGGGGGCCTCTTGGGAGCCTCTGGGACCGTCTTGGGGCGGTCTTGGGGGCCTCTTGGACCGTCTTCAACGCCGTGGAAGCCGAAAAGCCGTGCATGCTAAAACTGCACGTTTTCCCATGGAAAATCTAGGATTTGGCCTCCTGATGGCCTCGTGGGACGCCTCTTGGGGGCCTCTTGGGGCTTCTTGGTGGGCTCTGGGGGCCTCCCGGGAGCGTCTTGAGGCGATAGGCTAGACTTTTCAGTTCGTGGTCCCCCTCTTGGGGCCGTCTTGGCGCCCTCTTGGGCCGTCTTGAGCGCCTCTTGGGCAGTCTTGGGGCCCTCTTGGGCCGTTTCGGGGGCCTCTTGGGAGCCTCTTGGGCCGTCTTGGAGCGGTCTTGGGGGCCTCTTGGGCCGTCTAAGGCGCAAAGCCGTGCATGCTAAAAATGTACACTTTTTCCCCATAGGAAATCAATGATTTTGGCCTCTTGGGGCCCTCTTTGGACACCCCTTGGGCGCCTCTTGGAGGCCTCTTGGGGGCCTCTTGGGCCGTCTTGGGCGGTCTTGGGCTCTCTTGGAGCGCTCTTGGGCCGTCTTGAAGGAGAATCCGAAAAACATGCAAAAACCCAAAAACAGCCATTAACGCCAATCTACCCGGGCCTCGCCCCTCCCCTGGAACCCCTCCCTTAAGGGCTTCGCCCCATCACAACGTCATCGCTCGTACCTCGCTCTTTCCGTTACTTGGCCCGGCACAGAAACGGAAAGAGCGCTTCAGAAACAGAGACCGAGATTACTCACACCAGCGTTCGTACCGGAAGCCTTGGCGTTGAGAGCTTGTTACGTCACCCCTCGCTCTTGGGAGCCTTGGTGTTCAGAGATTGTTGCGTTGCCGCCCGTTCCTGAGCCTTGGCTGGGCCTTGGTGTCAGGAACTTGTTACGTCACCGCTCTCTGCTGGGAGCCTTGGTCTTATCAGCTTATCAGCTTGTTTACGTCACCGTTCGCTCTTGGGAGCCTTGGTGTGAAGAGCTTTTAGCGTGACCGATCGCTCTTTATTTGGCGTCTCTGGGCCTTCTTGGGAGTCCTCTTGGGGCCCTTTTCGGACCCTTTTGGAGGCCTGTTGGGACGCCTCTAGGGGGCCTCTTGGGGCTTCTTGGGGGGCTCTGGGGGCCTCCTGGGAGCTTCTTGGGGCGAAAGGCTCGACTTCTCGGTTCGTGGTCCTCCTCTTGGGGCCGTCTTGGGGCCCTCTTGGGCCGTCTTGGGCGCCTCTTGGGCCGTCTTGGCGCCCTCTTGGGCCGTTCTGGGGGCCTCTTGGGAGCCTCTTGGGCCGTCTTGGGGCGATCTTTAGGGCCTCGTGGACTGTCTTCAACGCCGTGGAAGCCGAAAAGCCGTGTATGCTAAAAATGTACCTTTTCCCATAGGAAATCCATGCGTTTGGCCTCCTGGTGGCCTCTTGGGACGCCTCTTGGGGGCCTCTTGGGGCTTCTTGGGGGGCTCTTGGGGCCTCCTGGGAGCGTCTTGGGGCGATAGGTTAGACTTTTCGGTTCGTGGTCCCCCTCTGGGGGCCGTCTTGGGGCCCTCTTGGGCCGTCTTGGGCGCCTCTCGGACCGTCTTGGGGCCTCTTGGGGGCCTCTTGGGCCGTCTTGGGCTGGTCTTGGGGGCCTCTTGGGCCGTCGTCAACGCCGTGAAAGCCGAAAGGCCGTATATGCTAAAAATGCAAGTTTTCTCATGGGAAATCAATGATTTTGGCCTCTTGGGGCCTTCTTAGGACGCCCCTTGGGCGCCTCCTGGGGCGCCTCTTGGGCCGTCTTGGGCAGTCTTGGGCTCTCTTGGAGCGCTCTTGGGCCGTCTTGGGGGGGAAACCCGAAAAACATGCAAAAACCTACGTCCCCCCCTGGAACCCCCTTAGGGGCTTCGCCCAAAACACAATGTCGTCACTCGTACCTCGCTCTTTCCGTCACCTGGCCCAGCACAGAAACGGAAAGAGCGCTTCAGCAACAGAAACCGAAATTGCTCAGACCACCGCTCGTACTGGGAGCCTTGGCGTTGAGAGCTTGTTACGTCACCCCTCGCTCTTGGGAGCCTTGGTGTTCAGAGATTGTTGCGTTGCCGCCCGTTCCTGAGCCTTGGCTGGGCCTTGGTGTCAGGAACTTGTTGCGTCACCGCTCTCTGCTGGGAGCCTTGGTCTTAAATACATGAAATTGGATTTTGGAAGAATTCAGGATTACGCGGGCGCAACAGTTACGTTCATTCGCGGTGTTGAAATCCCAAAACATGGCGTTCTGGCACGATTCAGGATCGTCAAAATGCAACAGTCAGGTTGATCCGTGGCGTTGGAATCCCGAGAACAATGTTACGGTCTGCTTTAAGGTCTTCAAACGGTTGTCTTCAAACGCAGCAGTTCCCTCAATGGACATGAACCGTTGTAGGGGCCTATGAAGAAGGAGCTTGGAGGGAGGGTTTATTCCAACATCGTTGACGGCTCTTGGGTTTACACTGGTCCTCCTCCTCCTCCTCCTCCTCCCCTCCTCCTCCTCCTCGTCCTCCTCCTCCTCCTCCTCCTCCTCCTCCCTCTCCTCATCCTTTCTCTTCCTCTCCCCAGTGTTTCCCCAAGGGGTTCCACGTCGGCTGGGGGAACACGTAGTCCAGTAGCTTGGCCAGCCTTCGGCCCAACGTTTGGCCGCATGGGCGTTTTCAAAAGGCAGGGGGCGGCAGGGATTCGCCGCAGGCGTCTTCGATAACTACACAGTCTGACAGGCCCGCTCCGGGCCCCGGCCCCGGTACTGGGTCCAAGGGGACCCGTGCCACGGGCAGCAGATTCCGACGCCGAGCGTCTTGCGGAGGAGCCAGCAGTGCGCGCACAAGGGGGGGGGGAACAGGGCGAGGGGGGGTCCCTCCACGATAGGTGGCGCCATCCCCCGCCGCCCATCGAGTGACCTGAATCGTTGATCGGCGAGGGTAGGGATCGGAGTTTGCCGCCGACACGAAGCCATCCGGAGGCTTCGTGGGCCCTGGACATGGCAGGGCCGTTTCTTGTATTACCGGTTCCGTTATGCATGTTTGTTGTGCTGGATCTGGCGCCATTGTTTTCCAGTTCCGTCGCCGCTTTTGCTTTCCAGTTCCGATTCCGGTTCCAATGCTGGAGCAGTTTTCCGTTTCCGAAAGCCGTTTTGTATCGCTCTCATGTTCTCTCGAGAGAGTTGTTTGAAAACGGCACACCTGGGCGACAAAAAGAAACGGGCCTTACGCGAGAAGATCTAGTGACCTTGGGTCGCGGCTTACGCGGGCCGCAGGCGCGGCACGCCACATTGGAAACGAGGGCGCTCACGTACGACCTTACACAGGCAGCTTGCGCGCAAACCTCCGCGCCGCCGACCCACTTTTCTTCTGTCACCCACCTGGAGGCCCAGACCCCCGACGTCATGATGTTTCATCACGTCGACCCCCAGAGGTCTCGACCCGTTCCCTAAGACTGGCTTCTCATCATGCGTCGTCTCCTGATGGCCCCGAGGCCCAAAAACTCCCCAGGGGCTGAAAATAACGAAAAGCCTTCTGTCGCGAATTTTTTATGACCCCAAGGGGTCTGGAGAGCAGGAGGGCTTCCGAGGGTGCTGCGCGCTCTTCCGCGGGAGGCCTCACCGGCCCGTGGAGCCCGCCTCCGGGCCCGCGGTGCCACCCTTCGCACCCGCCTCCTGGGCGAGCCTCTGGAACTCGGAGGGCCGTCCGAGCAGCGCCTGCGGGCTGTCGTACTCGACCACTGTGCCCTTGTCGAGGACCGCCACCTGAGCGACGAGGGAGAAGGGGCGTCACACACGATGATATAGCGACCTGACGCCGCGGCGTGCGCGGGCCGCCAGCGCACACCGCGTGGAGAAGAGGGCGCTGACGCGCGGCCTTACCAGGGGAGCCTACGCGCGAATATCCGCGCAGTCGACCCCGTTTGGGCGTCGCCCACCTTGTCGTAGTCCAGCAGCGTCTCGATCCGGTGCGCGATGGTGATGGTCGTGCACTTGAAGTCCTCGCGGATGACGCGCTGCAAGGTCTTATCGGTCTCCGCGTCGAGGTCGCTCGTGGCCTCGTCGAGAAGCAACAGGCCTCCGCTCTCGGGCTTCTTCAACAGCGCCCGCGCGAGGCACATGAGCTGCAGCTCGCCCATCGAGTAGTTCCCGCCGCCTTCCTCGACCTTGCTGTCCAGACCCCCCGAGAGCTCGACGCGCTCCCTGAGCTGCGACTTCGTGAGCGCACTCCATAGCTGCTCGTCCGTCTTGACCCTGAACGGGTCCAGATTAAACCGGACAGTGCCGGTCAAGATGGCTGGGTCCTGCGGGATGATGGCAGCCTTCTCGCGGAGGTCGTGGAGGCCGATATCCTTGATGTTTAGCCCATCCATCCAAATGCTGCCGCTCTGGGGCTCCACCAGACGCATGAGAGTCATCAGCAAGGACGACTTGCCGCACCCGGTCCTGCCCACGATGCCGACCCGCTCGCCACCCTTGATGTCGAGCGAGATGCCGTTGAGGACCGTGGGCAGCCCCTCGCGATACTTCATGTAGACATCCTGCACCTTCATGCTGCCACTGCTGGGCCACCCCGCAGGCACGACGCCCGCCTCGGACCGCAGGGCGGCCTCCTGGGCCGTGCCCGTCATGTACTGATGCACCCTCTCCACGGAAACCATCTGCGTCTCGCGGTCCGCGGACTCGCGGTTCACCTGATTCAGCGTGTCGGTCAGCTTCAGCGCGTACGTGATCGCCAGCCCGACGATGCCGGAGCTGAGGCCACCGTCCTTGCTCAGGAAAATGCCGAGGATGCAGACCGCCCCGACAAGGATGGTGCCGTTGAACTGCAGCCGGAGGCTCAGCCAGCGGGCGGCGGTGTTGCTGAGGTAGTAGGCCTCGCACTGCGTCTCGAGGAGCCGGACACAGTTCCTGAGCGACTTGTCCTGCGGCGGCGTTCCAGAGAGGGTGGCGCGAGGGGGGGGGCGGCACTCCGAGGAGGCACGGGGGGAGAGTCCTCCAGGAAGACAGGGGCCTTCTCAGAGGCCCTCCCAGCTTCCAAGAGGGCCAGTGCAGCCCTGCTGGAAAGGCCCCCGGCCCTCTGGGAGAAGCCCTTGGACCTCCGTGTGGGCCACCCCCCTCGCGCTGCCACCTCGCGCGCGGCGCCGGGTCCTGCTGCCGCATGGCGCGGATGGTGGACACGCCGCTGTAGGTCTCGGAGAAGTTGCCGATGATGGGGCTCCTGGCCGCGGCGTCGAGGCGGCGCAGGTCGCGGGTGGCGGGCAGGTATCTGCGGGCCAGGCGCGCGTACAGGAAGAACATGGGGATGATGAGGAAGGCGAGGTACCTCGGCGTCGGGCGACGAGATCTGTACGTGTCCGCTGCCTTTGGCCAGGCCCCTCCTGGGGCCAGGAGCAGTGCACACGCCCCCCCGACTTGGCCAGGTAGGCGTCAGCGCCGATCCTGGGCCCAGGATCGGCCTGGCCAGCAGCGGTGGATTTGCATCGTATCGCCCGATTGGCGGCGCGCAGAAGGGGGTGGCGCCAGGGGGGGGGAGGCGCGTCTGAGAAGGCGGGGCGCCTCTCGGGATGGCGGGGGGGGGCGTTCTCAGAAGGGCCTGGAAGCTTCCACGAAGGCTTCTAGGAGGCTGGGATGGCTTCTACCAGAAATGGAACTCTGCATAATGACAAATGTTCTGGAGGTCCGCGCGGGTTTCTTGGATCGGCTGTGGACCCACCTCTCCTGGAGCGCGGAGCGCGCCAAGGGCGGCGCTGGAAACGCCGTCGGGGGGGGTCCAGCGCCGATTCAGGAAATCCGAGGTGGAACCCGAAAGCGCATGTTCATTAAGTTTGTGGTTCGTCAGTTCTGCGAATATTTCTGAGAAATCCGATGGTGGCACGCAACAAAAAGTCGGCCACTCGCAAAAGGGGGGCTGAGGAAGGGGGAAGGCCTCTTAGAAGCACCCCTGTTTCGTAGAAGGCGCGGGCCCTAGCGCCTTGTGAGAAGCAGGGGTGGTTCTAAGAAGCCCCCCCTCTTTTGCGCGTGGTCGAATGAAGGCTCCTGAAAGGTCCCTCTTTGGCGGCGCGCTGCCGAGAGGTGTGGCACGAGGAGGGCGGCCTTCTGAGAAGGCGGCGATGGGGGGGGGTCCGACAGGGCAGGGGCCCTCCTAGCAGCCGGCCGGGCGTCTTAAAAAGGCCTCCATTGGCAAGGGCACTCGGCCGCTGCACTTTACAGACCTGGAAATACTGGAAGCGAAAATTCAAAAGCACAGTTCCCCAAACCCATCAGAAGTGTAAGTGCCGTTTTTGGAGCGCGAATGGCGGGAATGCCAGCAGCAGCTCAGCCTGTGACCCTCGTGGCTCTGCTGGTAGTTCTCGTAGCTAAGCTGGTGGCTCTCGGGGCTGTGCTTGCGGCCCTGTAGCTGAGCTGCCCTCGTAGCTCATCAAACAATCCACGCAGTTGTGTCGGAAGCTCTCGAGGCTCTACTCGGAACTCTTATTGTAATTCAGCCAGTGGCACTCGTAGCTCTGACCGGGGCTCTCGTAGCTCGACTTGCGTTCCGCGCAGCTCTGCTCGAGGTCATCGCTGCTGAGCTGGTGGCTCTCGCAGCTCAGCCGGCGGTCCTCGTACACCTGCGCGTGGCCCTTGCGACCTAGCTTGTGGTCATCGCTGTTCAGCTAGTAGCCACCATAGCGGTGGTGGAGGTTATCATAGGTCAGCCCGTGACCCGTTTAGCTCCGCTGGTGGCTCTCGTAGCTGAGTTGGTGGCCGTGGTAGCTCCTCAGGTGGCTCTCTCAGCTCAGCTAGTGCCTCTGGTAGCTCAGCTGGTGGACCTTGAAGCTCTCCGCCACTCGTAGCGATGATAATGACGTCGTCGGGTCGAGGCTGTATCCCATGCCGGAGGTTGTACCCAATTCGTTTTTGAGCCACGTCTGTTCGCGCCCGTGTCCCTCTATGCGTGTATGGTATCGGCATACTTGCTGATAATTATCCACCAAGGTGCCAAAAAGGCTAGATACCGTAAGTTTTAGATTTATTGGAGGCGTCCGCCTACAAAAATTCAACAATTGGTGGTTGATCATCTTCGTGCAGTGGCGGCGCCCCCTGACCGCGACCGCGGTTGGGAGGCTGAGGTTGGCCAGCTGGGCGCGAAGCGCGCGCGCACGGGCCAGTGCGGCGGATGGATCACGCATATGATTTTCCTCCTCATCATCATCCTCATCATCATCCTCATCACCACCACCACCACCATCATCATCATCATCATCCTCCTCCTCCTCCTCCTCCTCCTCATCCTCCTCCTCCTCCTCCTCCTCCTCCGCGCTCCTCCTCGTTCTTCCTCCTCCTCCTCCTCCTCCTCCTCCTCCTCCTCCTCATCATCATCCTCATCCTCTTCCTGCTCCTCCTCTTCCTCTTCCTCCTTCTCCTCCACCTCCTCCTCCTCCTCATCCTTCTCCTCCTGCTCCTCCTCCTCTTCCTCCATTCGTTTTCGTGATAGATAACGTCTCCCTGTCGCACCCCGAGGCCAGTTTCAGGGCGGGCCGGGCGTTTCGCTTGAGACTTCCTCACCATGTCTGACTCTGAAGCTCTCAAAGCAATAACTTCACAGATGGAGGGCGGATCGTATTCAAAATGTGGCTCTCGCCTCAGCGCCTCGCATATTCGTTTTACAAAAATGCGAAAGCTTCAAGGATTGAGGGCGAATCGTTTTCAGCGTTGAAGTCTCAGGAACGCATTTCTGGCACGAGTCAAAATCGTCAAGACGCAACAGTCAGGTTGATCCGTGGCGTTGGAATCCCGAGAATTTTGGTTTGGCATGCTACAGGGTCTTACACCAGTTGTCTTGCAACGAGGCAGTTCCCTCATTGGAAATGGACCGCTGTAGGGGCCTATGAAGAAGGAGCTTGGAGGGACGGTTTTCCCCAACATCGCTGATGATTCTTGGGTTTTCA